ATGTCATAAAACAATATGTGTACTACTGTTTCATGAGAAACTATTTGTTCTGTAAGCCTTCACCTAAAGTACAATAAAAAAAAAAAATACTCTTTTGGTTGATGATTTAACAAAGATTTCGAAGTTGTTTTTATATGCTTAGCTTTGTAAATGTTACAGAAAAAATAAAGATAAAATACTAAAATATGTAATTAGTAATTGCCTCTGGTTATTGATAAGTTTTCAGATTTTTAAATACTTCCTATGTTCTCCAAATTTTCTATAATGTGCATGTTTTGTGTTTATAAATAAGAAAAAAATTAAAGAACTACATCAGTGTCCAGGGCTTCCTAAGGGCAAGACAAGGCATGGCTATTAAGAGAGAGGTATATCAGGCATCAGGTGTATCAGGAATCTCAGGTGTACTGTTTGCTGTAAAGTCTCCTGCTATTTTCCAATGATAGCGACTCAATTCGTTTTGATGAGCCAAGGCTTGATTAGAATTCTAAGGCTTTTCAAAAACCATGCTAGGTCCCTGCCTGTCAGGAAGGAGCTTCTGGAACATTGTTCTTCACATTTTGGAAAGTATGGAACCATTTGAAAATCCTTTTTTTTTTTTAAATTTATATTATTGTACTTGAGATGAAGGTTTTCAGAACAAACTAGCTTCTCATTAAACAGTTAGTACACATATTGTTTTGTGACATTGGTTACCAACCCCATGACATATCAACACTCCCTTTTCGACCCTGGGTTTCATTCATCAGCTTTCCTGTCCCCTCCTGCCTACTAGTCCTTGTCCCTGGACTGCTGTGCCCCATTGGTCTCGTTTTGTTTTATAGGGTTGTCTAATCTTTGGCTGAAGGGTGAACCACAAGAGTGACTTCATTACTGAGCTAAAAGGGTGTCCAGGGGCCATAGTCTCCAGGTTTCTCCAGTCTCTGTCAGGCCAGTAAGTCTGGTCTTTTTTTGTGAGTTGGAATTTTGTTCTACATTTTTCTCCAGCTCTGTTCAGGACCCTCTATTGTGATCCCTGTCAGAGCAGTCCGTGGTGGTAACCGGGCACCATCTAGTTGTGCTGGACTCAGTCCGGTGGAGGCTGTGGTAGTTGTGGTTCATTAGTCGTTTGCACTCATCTTTCTCTTGTGTCTTTAGTTTTCCTCACTCTCCCTTGCTCCCGACGGAGTGAGACCAGTGGAGTATCTTAGATGGCTGCTCACCGGAACCATCTGAAAATCTAATGAAAGCCTTGGCTCCTCTCCACTAGAGTCCGGCCCCTGACACAGTTTCACACCAATTTCAGGGGTCCCTGTGCTTTTTCCCACGCCAGGTAGAAAATTCCGTTCTAGAACAGAGTGCAGGATCATTCTTTCTGCCCAACATGCCCTTCCTTGGTGCTTGATACCTTCCTACCCCTGCTTTAAGGGGTCGTTCAGATGTACCCTCCTTACCGAGACTTCCCCATCCTGACCATGACGTGCAGTAGTGGAAAGCACACTGGCCTTGTGTCATGATGCTAGGGCTTGAAGTCTAGCTTTGAAACACACTGCTGTGGGACTCGGTGCAAGTAACAAAGCTCCTTGGAGGTTCAGCTTCAGCCAAAAGAAGAAAATACCATTCTCAGAGGGATGACGTTAGGATTAAATATGATGAAGAATGTAAATATTCTCGATTTGGTTCTGTTGACTCTGCCCTCTGTCCTCCCAGAGCTCATCACGTGTATCCTACTATTTAATCAATTTACTGAACATCTCTGAGGTGCCAGGCCTTTGCTAGGCAGACAGGGATGAATTAGGGCAGTTGCTCTAAAGGAGCTGAGAGTCTAGTGGGAGATGAGCAGGTCCCCAACAGGCATGTGATACTTGCTCTAAGGGGGGAGTGGCCAGGTGCTCTGGGAACCAGAGGAGGGGGTGGAATCATGGGGGTGGGGGGAGGGTGTGGAAGAAGCCTTCCCTGAGGAGGTGGTGTTTGAGATGAACTTAGGGGATCAGGAAGTGTTTGCCAGTGGACAGAAGCAGGGAAAGGTATTGCAGGCAGCGTGGACAGCATTTATTAGGGCTCAACAGAAAAGTAGGCGTGGGATTTTGTTTGTTCCCCCACATATCCACGGTAGAGGGCAGGTATAAATATTCACCTTTGTAGCAGCAGCAGTGCCTTACAGAGGTCTAGCAGGTAGTATGAGCCTGGTCTGAGCCCAGTTTGTACTAGTTGAATGAATTAGTAAGCAAATGTATATATATCTTTTTCCAGTTGCTGTTGAGTCTGACTCATAGTGACCCCATGTGTGTCAGAGTAGAACTGTGCTCCATAGAATTTTCAATGGTTGATTTTTTTGGAAAAAGATCACCAGGACTTTCTTCCAAAGTACCTCTGGGTGGACTTGAACCTCCAACCGTTTGGTTAGCAGCCAGGCACTTAACCGTTTGCACTACCCAGGGACTCTGAATGGATATTAGTCAGAAAGTTATAATAGGTGAGAGACAGCTTTTAATATACAAGTGTTTACATTATGTCCAAAAGACTGTGAGCAAAAGGAATCACAGTTTGGTAGTGTTCCTATGCTACTGTGAGTCTGGGCTCCATAGCATCCTGGTTGAATGCTTGTTAATCATTTCCCTCTCAAGAGTGCTTGAGATTCTTCAAAACAAACTGCCTTAATGCTACTAAGGACTCTCCAGTTCATGTTTGTCCACACCACATCCTGGCCCCATCTCTAGCAGTAGTAACACCACTGTCATCACTGACATTCAAATTGGGAACATCCTTTCTGGAGAGGAATCGGTCTCTTACCACCTAATAGTACTGACTACCCTGTCTTCTGTGTAAATTTTCTTTCCAATTTCACCACGGCTGAAGACAGCTTCTGAGGCTGATGCACACATAAATCTAACTTCTGCAGCCAAAGTGCATGGTCGTCCCATACACAGGGCTGACAATGGCTTTTCGAGCAATTCTTTCCCATTGAGGAACTGAACAAGGAAGATCATAAACTCTCAAACTCAAGCAACTCAGTGGTTGCTTAGGCCATCCAAACGTGTGTAGCGGGGGAGGGTGGAAGGGAAGAGATTTAGTTATGTGCCAGTTGTAAAATCATGAATCCCCTAGGCCCCAAAAGATGCATTTTTTTTTTTTTTTTTTTCTGAAAGAGCAGTCTCCCTTTTAGCTTCATCATACAGGAAAGAAATATGTCCAGTTTAGACGACTGTCAGCTCTCCTAAATGCTCTGCAGAGAAAGTAAACATATTGTTCTTTTAAGATAGAATTTGGAGGTTACAGCTGAATTAGAAATTCCATTTGTATTACTACCTCCATGAGAGTCTGACGGTATTACTTATTACAGTATAAAGAGAAAGATAACTACCCTCGACTATTTGCCTTTCTTTCCACTCAACTAAGTGAGCCATTGGGAGCATCTTGATGAAGCATAAATACCAATGTAATGCCTACACATGCCAGTTATAAAGAGGGAAGAGTTTAAATATAAGCTAGGCAGTAATTGGTTGTTGCCTCTTAAAAAACTATTTTCCTCCAATATTCCAAATACTCAAATGGATTGTTAACAAATAACATCATATAGTGATTGTTATTGGTATGTCTTAGCATATATTGCTTTCTTGTGTTATCTCTCAACTTTTATATCCTGACTGAAAATATTTTTTAAACTTAAATAACCAGGTATAGTCTTAAAAGGAATCTTTCAGATCTTTTAATTTGAAGTAAGTTTTGATATTGAAACTTCTGATATTTTGGGGAAAGTACAAGATGAATTACGTAAGTCATACGTAAGAGAAAAATTAAGTTCTCTATCTAAATTTTCAGGGCCAAGCTTATCTTTATTGAACACTTACTGCCTGCTAGGCGCTATTTTAAATGCTCTATATGTGTAGCTCATTTGATCTTAACAGTACTCCCTTTCATTTTTAGATGACAAACTGAGACACAGGTTAAGTAACATGTCATGTCACAGGTTAAGAAGGGGTTTGAACCCAGCTGATTCTGGAGTATGTGCCCTTACGCAGGATAACATATTGCTTAAAGAAATGAGTAAAGAAGGTAGCCCTGCTCATCCCATGAAATCTTATGCCTTTCTAAAAAAGCCACATTTTAGAAGACTATTTAATCATGAGAAAATGCTCACAGTATAGAGTTAAGCGCAGGAACAAAACTCTACATACATAATAGCAAAATGGTGCGTGTGTGCAGGTGCGTGGGTGGGTGGGTGTGGGTGCGCACACGCATATACATAAGTACAAGCCCATACTCACAGATGGAGAAAGATATACAAAGAAGTAAACATGTTAGCAGGGGTTATCACTGCGTGAAGTAATTCCTGATGATTTTTATTTATTTTCTATTCTGTTTTCCAAATTGTTCAACTCCGAACATACACATTTTCATATATCAGAATAACAGTATTCCAAATTCGGAGTTTTACAGATCTCTGCTGTTCAGAAAAACACTTGCCCAAGAGAGCCCCTGGACGTTCGAAGGGGGTGCAGGGCGTGCTCCCTCCCATGAGACCTCGGTGGATCTCGCCTCCCTCTCCAAGATGGAACGAAAGAAGGGTACATGCAACCCTGTGCCGCCCTTCCTGGGGCTTGCGCCTGCTTCTCCGCTCGCTGGAGTTTAGCCAATCCCTGGGGTTCAGAGATGTTGCCATAGCGAGCGCCGGTCGTCGTCAACAGATCGCTCCGGTGCGGTCTACAATTGCAGTAAGGGGGGCGCTTGGGAATGGGTAGGATTGAGCGTCCTCTGGGTCACCACCGACTCGGCGCCGAGGGGCGACAAGGCCGCTCCGAGGGGGCGCGGAAGATCGGCAGGAGCTGCCAGAAGCGCTGGATCAGAGACTCGACGCTGCCCGCGGGTTTCTCCTGCCAGCGCCGCGCCCCATCGGAGGCGTCACATGGGCCCAAGCTGGCGCCACCTCTCCCAACCCCACCTGAGCCCTTCTTTGTCTGCCCCATCACCTCTGACTTCCCGCCTCCTGCCCGGGCTCTCACCCTCTCGGTTACCTGCAGGGACATGGCGGCGGCGGCCTCGCACTTGGTGGACTCTTTGCGCTGCGCTCCCATCCTCGCCCGCCCCGCGGCTACTTCTTAAAGGACTGCTGTCAGCGGCGGACTGGCTCCCATTGGCCGCGCTCCGGGGCCCGCCCAGCTCCCATTGGCCGGGACGCTGGAGGGCGGGGCTGGGCGGGGAGATGTCCCGAAAGCGGCGCAGCAGTGTTCTCCCGCTGCTAGCAACTGCAAAGACTGAGCGAAGGGAATTTAAATGAGTTCTTCTCGGTTCTTGGCTCGCTCCGCTGTTCTTTCTCAAGAGGTTACTTGCAGGAAAACCAGAGAAGTCTCCCCAGGGCACCAACACCACTTGGGATTCCTTTTTTATATATGGCTGTCTTCTCTCCATAATTCCTCGAAACCTGCACGGCAGACACCCTTTATTCGGACCACTCAAGTCTCCCCACCCATCCGTAGGCACTGTTCATCATGAATGATAAAAAGCTTGTGCTTTGGGTCTTTTCTTCTCTTTATAAAACAAAACCCTTAAATTCTGAACACGTTCTGCAACCACCTTGTTTGTAACTATGGTAAGGGCACAGGACTGCAAGGCCTATTCAGTTTGACCCACATCTCCGGTGGAAAAAACCCAATGTCACTCCAAATCTGCAGACACACAGAATGGAGTTGTGATTAACATTTTATTAAATTTCCAAAGAAATGGAACCAGATATCCAGGTCACGTGAGGAGTTAAAAATATTTGTTATTTTTTCCCATACAAAGTAAATCTCGTTTTTTCCTCTTTGAAAATATTTTCATGGTGATAGCACTGTATTTCCAAGTAAAGGACAAAAAGCGAATGTTAGGAAAGTGTACTGGGAAGGATTTTTAAAACTTCTAAACAATGGGAAATGCACAGGCAAAAGGCAGCTTCACCACAGTGAGTGCCTTCTCTGCCGGCCAGCAGTGGCTGCTGGGGAGAGAGCTGTCTATCAGAGTTTCATCAGGGAAATACTACACTGAGGTCCAATATCAGCCTGTATCTCCAGTTGAGACATTTTGGAATTATAGCCATAAGAAACTAGGAGAAGGAGAAAGGGAAGATATATTGTGCTCTGTTTTATTCTTGAAGTCTAGAATGTTCTTTTAAGACCCCTGTTCAAAGCCAGAGTCACAGCTGTCTTGTCTCAAGGAGCAAGAGGAAAGAAGAGTCAGTGAAAACACTGATGTCCTTGGCCCACTGATAATAATATACTAGGTACAGTGAAAATTCAGTGGAAACTTTAGGGTGTGAGTCAATTTGGATAGACAATGGAGTTTCTTATTCTTCTTCTTCTTTTTTACTCTTTTATTAAATATTGACTATAAACATATACATATATATATATATATATATATATATATATGGAGCCCTGGTGGCATAATGGTTAAGAGTTCAGCTACTAACCAAGAGGTCAGCGGTTCAAATCCACCAGCTGCTCCTTGGAAACCCTATGGGGCAATTCTACTCTGCC